AGAAGCCTAATACTTGATTTGGTTATTATTTAAAAACTCTCTGGACCAAGTAGTGGAATTTTCTTAATTCAAAATAAATGATGGCAAAAGGACACCTTATGCTTTTTTACATTCCTATTGCAACTTTTATACCAAAATCATATCTTGATATATATCTTTATCACCACCCTTCACAATACATATCGTGATATGAATTTTATGCGATATCGCACATTCCTACTTGGCACTATATAAATTAACTGAATTGAATTGCTTCATATTTTTCCCCAATCGAGATTTCACACATGGAGCTAACAGGTGGTGTGTGCGTGTGCGTGTTTGCACAACATGTTGCACAAACAGGAAATTCTGCACCCCTAATATTGAAGTGGTTGACCATCATACAACTTTCATTCATGGGTTTTCTGTTTTTCCTGTCACAGTAATTAATGATAAAGCTACACAAACGCAAAACTACTAACTGCTTTTGCACATGAACACCAGAAGTATAAGATCTAGCATTCTTTGAAGAAAAATGTATTACCTGCCTTTTTTAAACCAGAGTTTTAAAGTAAAATCCTCATGCTGAGAGGGGTCAGAGGTGTAGCCATTTTGACCAAACCTTGTAAATGAGATTATGCATGAGCTCATGTGATGTGAGAGCTCGTCAGATGTGTTAGTTCTGATCCAATGTGTTGGGGATGACTCTCAGCTACTACCAAATTTAGCTCAATATTTGTTAAAACGATCTTTTTTCTAAGATTGATAAGCTATGGCATCCATCTTGACTTGAGTTGGCTCAGAATGATAATGAATTGTAGAGGTATATAATTCCTTCCAGTGGTTCATAGATATTTTGTTAATGCTCATGCTCAGACATAGGCCCAAACAATATTGCCACTTTGAAGTGACAGGTGATAATGAAAACAGTTTACTGTAGATGGGACTTTTTCTATGTGCAGTTTACGTTTGCACTTAAAATGTGAGATTTTCTGCTTGAGACGTGTTTTCCAAATGGGAAGGAGAGGTTGCAGGAAAGTGTCTTGGAATGAGCAGTCAATATTTCTTTTTTATTTTTTGTTAAGGGTATTTGCTAGCAGTTTTTACTCTTTCTGTGTTGCCCATTTGGAGGTCAAACTGTTGGACAGGAAATGAGTTTGGACTGTGTGTGCGCGGCTGAGATGAGTGTGGCTGTGAGTCAGACATTAGGCATCAGGGGAGATCTGTCACTAAGACAAATGAGCAGCTCACAGGAGATGAGTAAAACCTTTTCTTTAAAGCACAGAAAAATGTCATAAGGTTCATCTCCAGCATGCAGTTGAAATCCTGGACAGTTTTCCCCCCTTTACCCATGGATTGTTGGAATAGTTTAGGAGCTCATTCTTGCTTCTGCAGAGGAACCATGCTGCTTTCAGCAGCACGTTGAAGAAAGGGAATGACTCGAACAGTAAATATGTAGACAGACACATTTGCATGTTTCCACTTTTTTTCTGTCGCTGCAGGGTGTTTTTATTGAGGGTTATGTGCATCTCTTTTAAATAAATAGAGGTTTGTATTTTAAATTTTCAGTGAATCATAGTACCGGTAAATGTTTCATTTTCTCCATTCTGAAATGTGGACGGAAAAAGCTTTACACACTCACATGCAGGATGTTCATGTAGGTATTTGTAAGATGTCAAGCTTTTGCTGCTTACTGTGGGTCAATTGTTTTAATGCTGATTGAATATAAGTGGTCATTCCACTTATCTGTATACATTTTCTCCCAGTTTTTTATGGTACGATACCAAAATGTGTATTTTTTTTCCCCCTGCTTGTTTCCAAATCAGATTTGATATTGGAATGGAGGTTATTTAGTGAGTTATTTTCTCAGAGGCCGGTTCATTTGGTCTGCTCTTCTCAGAGAGGGTCTGGTTATGTGTTTATGATGGTAAGACAGAGCACCAAAAGTTTGGTTTGCTTTATGACAGAGACATAAGAAGAATTCTGATAAATACCCAGTTTAGAGCTGCTTTCGGAGAAGGGGCTTAAGTAAGTTGTTTTTAGTAAGTGCATATCATAATTTCATTCCTCTGCTTATTTTATTTGTGACTGATGTTTTTGCAGTGAACTTGTTTTTAGCAAAAAGAAATAAAAAGTCAGTATCTTGGAAGAGCCTATGAAACAAAACTGAACTTTACAGCAGCTTATAGTGAGGAAGTTTTATGTTCTCTCAACTTGTTTCTTTCTTTTTGGTTTCTTTTGTACTTTAGGGACTATAATCCATGAAAACCAGTTTGGGCTAGCTAACAATAAAAATGTCACAAGTTGGTGTCAATGACGATTATCAAAAACACACAACTGTTGTGAGGCTTAATAGTAGAGCCTGGCCGATATTGGCTATCGCCACTGCCAATAGCATAGCATTTTTCACACAAAGCTTTTAATTAAAAAAAAAATCAGTAAACGAGTTCTCAGCTTCTTTTTGCAGAGAAAAACAACCTTTTACACGAAGGCACGGGTTTCAACTGTGAATTTTGTAGCTTCGACAAGATGTTTTTTTCCCGAAGTCGGCCTGTTAGCTCGTAGCTTAGCTTCTCAGCTAAGCAGATTTTAACGATCCAAAAACGCGATTTTGGACGGTTAAAACAGTTTTTTTTTTTAAAGAGAAAGGGAGGGGTCAGTGAAGAGCACCAGAGTTGAGACTTTTGTCATCCAGTGTCTTCAGTAGAAAGAGAGAGACACACAGAAACGATAAAGGCGATAAATGAAAATGAGGTAGATAATTTTCATTTATCATGCGATTAATTAATTTATTGTTTATCGCGACAGGCCTACTTCCCAGTTCATTGTTTAAACAGTTAGTCATGTATGGTGAAGGCCTAATTAGTACTGACTGCAGTGGCATTTTTTTTTTGTAGCAAAATAGAGAGTTCAGATAAACAATGCATTTACGTGAGGACAACAAACATAACATTACTAACACTGATATATTTTACCTCTAGAGTTATTGTTCTGGCTAAAGTTTTACAAGGCAATAGCTACGCTAATGTTAGCTTGCTAACTTGAGAGGCACAAGGCTAACGCCAAGCGGGTTGGAGGATTGAAGAGAATTTATTATTGTTGATTTTTAATTTTATTTTACAGTTCAGTTACAATAAACTTACCATGCTCTGTTCAGCAGAATAAGCTACACAGTTGCTCCCTGCTTCAGGAGTGCTGTGAGTCAAATGTGTAGCATGACCATGACTTGAAAGTTGTCTATGTGCCCTCTGCTGGATATATTATACAATTATGTCATTTGCAAGTAAGGACACAGTTGGTTCCCAGCATTTTAGGAGTGAAAATTTGAAGTGTTTATATCGGTACATAATGGGCCAATTATCAACAATACCGATATGTCCCCAAACGCCTATATAGGCCCTACCGATATATTGGTCGAGCTCTGCTTAATAGGGCAACTTCTCTCAGAAATGTTATTTGCAAGCACATTACAATTAAACACAGATGTTTGAAAAGTAACATTTCTCAAATTAAAGCCTATGTTCATCCAGCTGCATGCAACTTTTATACATTTAAAAAAATGTTGTTGTTTTTTGCTGAACCCAAGCACATATGGTTCCCAGGTTACATGTGAAAAAAAAATGTTTGCCTTCTAAACAGTTTATTTTAGTGTCTGATTTTGTTAGAAGTGCCATGACTAGTTTTGCTGATGCCATTCCCTGAAACACTTGTGCTGTAATGCTTCACTGTTTTATTTATTGCATTATGCTCTTAAATCAAGCACTGCACAGCTGCAAGACAACACCTTTCTCTGTGGTGATTGTTTTTTTTTTTTTTTTTTTTTTGGTTGTTGTTGTCTCAGGAGCAAATGTGAAAACCACAAGTTATCAAGGTAATTGTTAAGGTCAGGACTTTGACTTGGCCATTCCAAAATATTTATTTTTCTTGAACCATGCTTTGGTAGAACCACTTGTGTGTTTAGGGTCATTGTCGCTGCATGACCCACCTTCTCTTGAGATTCAGTTCATGGACAGATGTCCTGATATTTTCCTTTAGAATTATCTGATATAATTCAGAATTCATTGTTCCATCAATGATGGCAAGCCGTCCTGGCCCAGATGCAGCAAAACAGGCCCAAACCATGATACTACCACCACCATGTTTCATAGGTGGGATAAGGTTCTTATGTAGGAATGCAGTATTTTCCTTTCTACAAACATAACACTTTTCATTTAAACCAAAAACTTCTATTTAAGTCTCATTTGTCCACAAAACAATCTTCCAATAGCCTTCTGGTTTGTCCATGTGATCTTTAACAAACTGCAGACGTGCAGCAATGTTTTTTTTTTGGAGAGCAGTGGCTTTCTCCTTGCAACCCTGTCATGCACACCATTGTTGTTCAGTGTTCTCCTGATGGTGGACTCATGAACATGAACATCAGTCAATGTGAGAGAGGCCTTCAGCTGCTTAGAATTTACCCTGGGTCCTTTGTGACCTCGCTGACGTTTTGTAACCTTTTCCAGCCTGATGAGCATCAACCACTCTCTTTCTGTCTTCAGAAATCTCCTTAGTTCCTGCCGTAATACACTTCCACAAACATGTGTTGTGACGAGCAGACTTTGATCGATCCTTGGTCTTTAAATCAAACAGGGTGCCCATTCACACCTGCTCATCATCCCATTGATTGAAAACACTCGACTCTAATTTCACCTTCAAACTAACTGCTAATCCTAGAGGTTCACATACTTTTGCCGCTCAAAAATATGTAATATGGATCAATTTCCTCAATAAATAAATGTCCAAATATAATGTTTTCATCTCATTTGTTTAACTGGGTTTTCTTTTAGGATTTGTGTGAATATCTGATGATGTTTTAGGTCGTATTTATGCAGAACTATAGCAATTGTAAAGGGTTCACAAACTTTTAAACACCACTGTATGTCTAGTGTCTAAAGTTTAGGCTTATTAACTACTTGTAGGAGTTGGCCATAAAGCTGTAGAGGGCAAAAGGAAATGACACCAGTTTGTGTGTTACTTCACAGACCTTAGAGGCCGTTATCATCGTGGGAGAGGAGGAGACGGATGAGCTGATAGTGCACAAGGAGAAAATGGCTTAACAACGGAGGAGGGAGAGGCTACGGGCAAAGCCTGAAAGAGAGGTCTGTTACAAGTAGAAAACCTACCAATGTTCTGTCCTCTCCTCTTTCACCTCCGAGTTCATCCTGTCTTCCCCCCCCCCATGACCTTTGCAGATGAGCTCTGATTAAATAAGTCTAGTTTAGTTTGTCAGGCAAGGCTTTATCTATGAAAAAATAATGATGACCAAAAGAAGGTGAACAAAACAAATTTGAAGTGAGCAGCTATCAAAAAGGAAGTGTGAATATGATACAACACCCCCTAGGAAGGGGTGAGAGCCTTGGAGATGAAGGGAGGGTGCTCTGTGTGTGAATCTGTGAAGGAAAAGCACTGTCTCTCTGGAGAGGGTGTGTCTGTAGAGTAGATCTTTTGCTGTGATTACCAGTACTTTGATTCAGAGAAGAAATGCAAATGACTTCAAAGGGTGGGAGGTAGGAGACAGCAGGCATTTTTTCTGCATGCATCATATACCTGGTTGACTGAACGTGCCTGGAAGGTCACAGTTATCCCCTGTCCCTGAACCTGGCTTGACCCACTTTGTTTGAAGGCAAACACCTTTGTGGCCTCTTTCCTACTCTGTTCCAGACTCGCACTTAGCCAACCTCTTAACTCCGTCCCTTCTCCCAGACATGAACTCTGCTGCTCTCGGCTCAAAACACCTTAACACACACATGGCTGCATCCATTAAGCATATTTCTGTAACTACCCCAGATGCTTTTTTTTTTCCTGTCTTTGATGGACGTATTATACGAAGTCGAACATAGAGGACTGTGGTTTTCTAGGGGTTCTCGTGTCTGAGTTTGTCTGAAATATTTGCACCCTCAACGGAAGCCTCAAAGCAGAGTTTTACACAATTTATATAGCAACAATTCAACATTTCATTATTCAAACTATACGAAAATATCACCAATAACCAATATTTTAACTATGATAATAAATCCAGACTTAGCAGGCAGACAAGTATGAATATTTTCCGAAATGGCTAAATCCATTAAACCCTCCTGTTTCCTCCTTTTACCTTTTGTCCTACTTTTCTGCTCTACATTTTTTGCCATTTGCCAGATCTTTTCACTCCATGCTATAACTGCATGTGGCTTGAAAACAAATATGCTTCTGTGAACACATGTGCAGCTCAGTGCGAGTGCAAGAGTAAGTGCACGTGTGGATGTAGAACCACACCCTGGACTCACATTGTGGTTTAAACCAAACAGAGAGAAAGGAAAAATGAACAGTGACTAGATGTCACTTGTTGTGTTTGCACTTTGCACTAGTTTGATTATTTGTGATTGTAAAATGAAGAATGAGGGACATAGCTGTCCTCATAGGTCATCATGAAGGACCCCACCCACCCAGCACACACACTTTTTGCCCCACTCCCCTCAGGAAGGAGGTTAAGGAGCATTAAGTGTAGAACCACTAGACTGAGGAACAGCTTCTACCCTGAGGCTGTTAGACTCATGAATCTCTAACTAGAATAATCACTGTGAAAAACCATATCATGTTGCTGCTGATCTGTTTCATGTTGCTGCTGATCTGTTTCAATGTTGATGTGTTCATGCGTGCACATCTGCTCACAGACTCATGTTCATGTTTGTGCTGATGTTCAATGTTTTATGTTATGAGTGCTTAGTGTATATTTAGTTGATGTTTTTCTTAGTTCATATCTTAGATGTTATTACTGTTTTTCTTATACATTTTATTGTTGGATGTAACTGGGACCCTGTGTACATAATTTCGCTCCACCACATGTACCACATGAGGTGCGAATGACAATAAAGAAACTCTGACTCTGACTCTGACTCTGACTCTGACTCTGACTCTGATCATGCCATATCTACTCTTTTACCTGAAGCCAGGTTTTAAACAAATATATTATGATCCCCTGGTTTAGTCTCTTTGGAGTTTCATCTGAGACTGGTTGAAACGTACACCTTCCTCTCAGCTGTTGTTACTGGCCAAGTTCCACTTCAGAGATGCCACTGTCAGTCCAAATACCTCAGATAGTTTCTAGGGGCTGAGACTTCCGTCGGCCTGTGTGATTGTTAGTTTCACATTGCAGTACTCATTATTCATAAATTGTCAACACTACAGCAGCAGATTCAGATGTGGGTTTAGTTGGCAACATATTTGGAAGTGATGCTGAGATTGATTGTATTTTAAAGGTGAGGAGGTAGTCTTCATGGTTCTGTGTCCACTCTGCTGTGGTGTTTTGTAAATGCATGTTGCTGCCTCTTGGTTCTTTAGCTATGTGCTGGTGTGGTGAAATGAAAATTAAAAAATACATTGTTCAGTTTAGCTGTTTTTTGTATTTTACTCCTGCATTTGAGCTGTTTACTGTTTTTAAATATTTGTCCTCTCTTTTAGTGTTGGATGTGTTTGGTGCTACCCCACGTTTATCAAGATAACTTTTAACCAATCAGCAATTGGCAATTGTGTTTTGTAGTCTCTGAAAAATTGACATTCACGTTTTGGAGGGCTGCACATACGTTTGTTTATTGATGAATACCCACAGTTCTTCACTTTGCATGCTCTGAGATCCACACATCTGCAGAAACAAGCCCTTCAGACATATCCTGTCTTCATTTAACTTGTCAAGGTGTTCATACGTGCTGCTCAAGAACACACAACTGCTACTGTGAGCTACCAGGAACCACACCTTGCTCCTGTAATCCTATTTCAGTAAGAACAAACCCCTCTTTATAATACCCTTTGAATAGATTGCTCACCTGTACTCACCACAAGCCTCTTTTTTACTGAGGTGCCTGTATTGATGTGTGTGCAACAGGTTTTTTTTTTTTTTAGCTTCAATTTTAAACTCGAGGTAACTTCCTGGTAGAATAAATCCTATAACAGAAAACGACAATAAAAGCCAACAGTACCGGTAATAACAAATACAAAGAAAATAGGTAGAATAAAAAATAAATAGTACAAGGACTGACTTGTTATATTGTGACACATGACACTTCTTGTTATGAGCATTGAAAGTCTTGTTGTCTGTTTCCTGTACACTTCAGCAATGTTTTACACCCAGACAAAAGACTAATTTTAGTGTGAATTTGGGTTAGTAATTTCCCTTAGGGTAAATCTAATCAGCAAGAAGGTTGCAGGTTTGCTTCATGCCCAGGGCCATTCTGGGTGGAGTTTGCATGTTTTTTGTGCGCACACATGGGTTTTCTCCCATGTGTCTGCAATGGACTTGCGATGTCCAGGGTGCACCCTGCCTTCCACATTGGGACTGCAGGAGATAGGCACTAGCTACCATGGGATCCTGTGAACATGCAGGTAAAGAGGATAGCTGGAAGGAAAGAAACAAAATCCAGTACCAGTCAACATACAGTGGGTGGGTGCTCATCTTTGGTTCCTCTCTTTAATAGGATCAGCCTTCTGGCAAGAGGGAGTAGCTTTGAATCAGAACTTCAGCAGCTGCACCACAAAGACTGTAATAAGTGATCTGAGAAAAAGAAAAGTGGACCTTTTTTGGGGGCGAATATATACATTCATTCATTCATTCAACCTTTATTTATGCAGGTTAATCCCATTGAGCCTTGGGGACTCATTTACAAGAGAGACCTGATTTTAACAAATAGTGATGACAACAGTAGACAATAATAGACGATCATAAAGGATGCATACAAATTGAGATTTTAAAAATATATATTTTTCAACCTTTATTTAGACAGGTAAATCCCATTGAGCCTCGAGGACTCATTTACAAGAGAGACCTGATTTCAACAAAGAAAGATGACAACAATGGACAACAGCAACAACAATAAACAGTTATAAAAAGGCATACAGATTTTGAATGTCCAGAGGACCAGATTGAACTTTTTTGGATTTTTCTACCTGGATTATTGAGCATGTATCAGCATACAGATTTTTTTTTTTTTTTTTTTTTTTTTTTTTTTTTTAACAAATAGCAAAAAGAGCAACAAAACAGCTAGATTATAAGGCGAATGTAGAAAACTAAAAACAGGAACATGTCTGCATTGGTCCTTGCCAGGAGTCCAACAGATTCTTAAAGCCACTTAGAGAGGTTAAGGTCGAGAGCTTCAGATCTTTTTGTAAGATATTCCAGGAAACAGGAGCGGAGTAGGAGAAGGCCCTTTTGCCAAGTTCAGTACGCACCGAGGGAACACTGCAGGTAATAATATACTGTAATTGCAGGTGTACAAGCCGTTACTTTTTTCTCATACTTTGTACCCCACGGTTTTATGCTGGGGCGTCTTATTTATGTATTTTTTTCATCCATCCATCCATCCATCCATCCATCCATCCATCCATTATCTTTACCCGTTTTATTCCATTTTGGGTCACGGGGGTCGCTGGTGCCCATGTCCAGCAATCACTGTGCGAGGGGTGAGGTACACCCTGGACGGGTCGCAAGTCCATCACAGGGACACATAGAGACAAACGAGACAAACAACCATTCACTCTCTCATTCACACCTAGGGACAATTTAGAGTTACCAATCAGCCTAACATGCATGTTTTTGGTCTGTGGGAGGAAACCGGAGTACCCGGAGAAAACCCACGCATGCATGGAGAGAACATGCAAACTCTACCCAGAAGGCCCCTGGACCAGGGTTTGAACCAAGGACCTGTTTGCTGAGAGGCAGCAGCTCTACCAGTTGCGCCACCGTGCTGCCCGTATTTTTTTCATAATTTTCAAAATTTATATTTTTACATTTGATTTTGTAAGACTTTCTGCCGTCTCTCGGTAGCTTCCTGCCACTGACTTTTTCCTTTGACAGAGCTGGGTGCTTATGGCTCCCAACACCCGCCCCTCATGGGGGCAGGCATTTGTGACTATGGATGGGGCCGATCCGCTATCGGCCTCCAGTACCATCAATAATTTACGTATCGGATTTTTCCGATCCAACCTGCAGATTTCCAATCCATGGTGCACGTTGGCTTCAAACTATGGAATGGATTTCCTGAATGGCGGCTTATCTCATGGACCCAGAGTAATAAGACCCGCCTCACATTCAGGAAATCCATTTCATAGTTTGCAGCCAGCTACAACG